TATATCATTTCATTCATAAATAAATAATAATATAACATTTATATTATCATTAATATGAAATATTAATATTTCATCAATAATTATAATAAAAATAAATTCAAATAATAAATTGTTAATAATAAAATAAATCAAAACAATAAACAAAATAAATAAAAAATGAATAAAATAAAATCATTATAAAATAAGAAATGATATAAATAATTTATATTCATTATATTTATTTGTATTATTTCATTATTATTCTATTCTTTATTTAAATAAATTAAATAATGTGAATAATTTTATTATTATTAATTATTGTATTAATATCATTTATTATTGATTATTTCTTCTTTATTTTCATTTTATTTTTATTCTTTTATTTACATTCTTTCATTGTATTATTTTATTGTATTTTTAATATAATTTTATTGTATTTTCAATATTATTTGATTAATGTAATGTTTATTATTTTATTTCTTTATCTTCATGTTTTATATTATTCTCTTTTATTACTTCTTCTTATTAAAATATTTCATATCAATATTATTTGAATATTATTATGATATGCATTAACAATGATATACAACATTTAAATAAAATATTCTTAATTTATGAATAAATTTAAATAATAATTATGTTAATATTGTATCCATTTTATAAAATAAATTTATCATATTAATATTTCATATCATTCTCATTTATAACTATTGTTTGTGATTTGAATTTATCAAATTATTTCATTTATTTACTAACTCTGTTATTTGAATTCATGTTAATTTCATTTATAAGAATTACAAGATTTAATGATTAAAATATTGAATAGATATATTAAATATAAATTAATGTAATGAAATTAAATGAAATTATAGAAAATGAATATTAAAAATACATTAAATATAAATATTTCATTATCATTTTATTCTTAATTAATATTGAATTGTAAATGATGTTATTCAAATTAAGATTAAATGATTTAATTATTTGTTTTATTCATTCTTCTATTTCATTGTTCATTCTTATGATTATTTTATTATCAGATAACCAAAATAAGAGAATAAATTATACATATAAATAAAAATCATAAAATAAAAATGAATAAAATAAATTTCATAAATAAAATAATGTTAAATATTTTGTATCAATAAATTACATGCTCTTTTATTTCATATTTCTAATTTCTGTAATAAAAATACACCATTATTCCATCCTTCTTTTCATCTTTTATTATCACTTTTTGATTTACTCCTTTTTATCTTCTTTATTTTTATATTCTCAATTTTCTTATTCTTTTCATCTTCTTCTATTTCTTAATTTCACTTTTTTCTTTCATATCATTCTTTCTCTTCATTTTTTTCTCTTATTTCCTTTTTTCGTTGCCTATTCTATTTATCACCTACTTCATTCTATTAACAATATTTAAATAATATACATCTTCTTCTTGTTTAAATAATTAAATAATGATAAAATGAATTAAAAGAATAAGAAATAAAATAGAAGGACAATAATAAACAAATGATAATCAATTTGATTTTCTTTATTCGATTATTTTTTTCTTTGTTCATTTCTTTAGTTCTTTTATAACATATTATTCTCTCTCATTCGTTCATTACATTATTCCAATTACATCAAAATAAAACATCAATTAAGAATCATTCATTTAATAAAATGTTTGAAAATGTTTTATTAATTTTGTAATTTCATCATTTTCTTTAGATAAATCAATACTAACAATTAAATCTCCTTTAACATCACTTCCAACAACAGAAGCACTTAATTCCATCATTCCATTTTGATTAACTTTAATTGTAAAGTCAATTGTTTGTTCTCCAGCTTTTCCGTTAGGAATTCCATCAATACGGAGTGTAGTAATGTATTCCATTTCATATGAATTAACATATTTACCAAATCCTTTATAAATATTAAATTCTATTGTTGTTTGATTATCGTAGATTGTGTAATATCTTTTTGTTATTCCCTTTGTAGGAAGTGTTTCTCCATCTTCAATAAGTATTTCAAATTTTCCCCCTTCTACCTCTATTCCAATTGGTGTTGGAACAATATCATATATAACTTTATGACTAACACATTCAATTTGTCTTAAGTATGCTAAATATGCTGCCCCTTTTGCAACAGCATTAAGTGGATTAAACTTCTTATCAGAAAATGTTTGTCTATCAAATAACTTAGCAACTTCTTCTCTAATTCTTGGCATTTTACATATTCCACTATTTAGCATTACTAATTTAACATTTCCTCTTTCATAACCCTTTCTTTGAGTAACTTGTTTTATTTTATTAATAAATTCTTCATATATTCCTCTTTTTTCACATTCTTCTTCAAATTCTTTTCTTGTAATAGTAGGATCAATATCATATTTATCATCACAACCATCAGATAATAAATCCAAATCTAGTTCAGTATTATATTCATCATCATAATTATCAGATAATAATAATTCTAAATTTAATTCAGTATCAGTTTTATCACTTAATTCAATTTTAATTCTTTCTGATTCTTCTTTAGTTTAGTTAATTTCTTGTTGAATATTGTTTCTTTTTGAGTCATTACTTGTTTCTGTTTATAATATCCTGGAATAACTTTTTCTATTCTTTTTTTAATGATATCATTCATTACATTATCAAATTCGTTTCCTCCTAAATCTTGATTTCCTCCAGATGATTCTACAACAACACTATCATTTACTATTTTAAAACATGTTACATCTAATGTTCCTCCAAAATCAATTACTACGATTCTATCTCCATTTTTTAATGAATTTGGATATTTTCTTTTATATCCAGCAATAGCCGCTGTTGGTTCATTAGCAAGTTCAACATTCTTAGTTCCTGATAATTTACACGCTAATAATATTGATGCTCTTTGTATATCATTGAATTCAGCTGGAACAGTAACAACAACATTTGATATTGGTTGATTACCAAGTTTTGCTTGTGCAATTTCATATAAATATTTTAATATTATTCCACTAATTTCTTCTGGTTCAAATTCTTCACTTTCTTGAGTTAATGGATTATAACATTCAATATAAGCACTTCCATCATCTCTTGATTTTAATTTGAATGGCCAATGTTCACGATCTTCATAACTAACATCACATTCATCTCTTCCTATTATTCTCTTACTATCATAAATAATACATTTCGTATTAATGTCATATTTAACCTAATTTCCTACAACAACAAATCCAATATTATTTAGTTGTGAAAGACTAACACATGATGCTATTCGTTCTTTTCCTATTTCATCTTCAATTAAGATAGGTTCATTTTTAACAATATCATAATAAGCAACTGAAGAATGTGTAAGTCCTAAATCAATTACAATTGAAAATGACTTTTCTTCTTGTACATTCATTAAATGAATATTACAAGTTTATGTTGAATGTTATGACAAACAGAAATAATATTTAGAAATAAATATCATTTATTTATATTTTATTTCAATCAGATTATCTAAAAATAGAATAATTTATTTTTAGAATAACAAAAACACAAAAAATGAAAATGTTATAAAAATATAAATTATTAATTGAATACAAATATTAACTATTAGAACTTATTGATTCATGGGTTGTGTTGTTTCAATATTTTCTGATATTTCTGTTAACTTTGTATATCGGTATTTGATTGAAATGAAAAGAGAATTAAAAGAGATAAAATTAAAATAAAGAAATGTTTCTGAACTTATACAATAATAAATACTCAATTATTTATTATTGAATAGAAATAAATTTAATCATTTTATTGATTGAAATATTAATTATTATATTAATTCATAATGATGAAAAATTAATTAGAGAACAATTACAATTATCAAATATAATAATATAATAAAAAATATATTCATTATTAAAAGAGTTATTAAAAATGATTAATAATATTCAAATACATTCATTATAACTAATATATCATATTATATTTAAAATAATAATAATAAGAATGTTTATTCTATTATTTAATATATTTATATTAACTTTATTATTTATTATCATTGAATATGATGAAATAATAATATATTAATTATATTAAAATAAATAATGATTTAATCATATGATACTTATTATAATTAATTGACATTCATCATACTGAATATAAATAAATAACAAAGTATATTATGAAATTAAATAATAAATAGATATAAATATAAAATGTAATAAACATAGAATTAATTATATTCATTATCATTATAAAATGAATTTAAAAATATGTTAATTTTATTTTAATTTTATTAAATAATGATATTCTAAATATTGATAAAATATTATAAATAATAATCAGACAATCAAAATTTATAATATGTTATTCAAATATTTAATAATATGCCATAAAAAAGTTAATAGAGAAAAAAGGAAATAAGAGAAATAATGAAAAAGAACGTTATGAAAGAAAAAAGTGAAATTAAGAAGTAGAAGAAGATGAAAAGAATAAAAGTAGAAATTGAGAATATAAAATGAAAAAAGATAAAAATGAATAATTCAAAATGAGATAATAAAAGATGAAAAGAATGATGAAATAAATGATGTATTTTTTTATTACAGAAATTAGAAATATGAAATAAAAAAGTATTTAATTTATTGATATAATTTATTTTATTCATTTTTATTTAATGATTTTTATTTATACGCATTATTTATTCTTAATGTTTATTATATAATCAGTTACAAATATTATGATTAGTATACAATATGTAATAAATAATAATTTCATATGATATATATAGAAGATATAAAAATTAAATGAATAATAATAAATGATAAAGAAATAATAAGAGAAATGATATAATAATAAATAAAATGAATAAATAAAAAGATAAATAAAATCAATATAATATAAATAAAATAATAATAAATATAAAGAGAAAATTGATATAAATTATAAAAATATAATCAAAATGAAAATAAGATAAAGAAATATATTAATATATAAAATAAAATATAAATAATAAGA